AGGCCACCCAGGTCACCCAGGCCATCCAGCAATGGGCGGATATCACGCAGGATAGCCAGGCGATCCAGATCCCATGGGTTATGGATAACGCGCTACCCATATTACCATGCCACGCCAACGGGTTGTTATGCCAGCGGGACCCCACGCAGTGCCATTATATTGGATCTACCATGGCGTCCATGCGGGTGCACTGGCGAGCCACCTACTAATGGTCCTAGCAGGGCCGCCGGGGCCATGTCGGCCCGAGGGAAAAGGCGCGTGGGGAGGTAGAGCTGGCACGATCATACACGCGCGTGGCGTGGTAGTAGGTGTTCTCCACGCGCAAGGGGTCCTATTACATCCATATTAGGTACCCAGGCGGCCACTGCTAGAGCCCGCCACCGCCACCCGCGGAGCAGGCCCAGCAGGCCGTGGATGCCATGGTCATTACATGGGAGCGGGCGCGCGCGCAGGTAGCAGAGCAGGCCACCATCCAGGCGGATAAGGTGGCTGATGCCAACCCATGGCTGCGCATGACGGGGTGGGCGAGGTATTTGGATGGCGTGCACCCGCAGGATTTGCGCCAGCTCGTAGAGGCGCCCGTGGAGGTAGAGGTGGTGGAGGAGGAGGAGCTAGTGGATATAGATCCTAAGGTAGATCCCACCGAGCAGGCCGTGCGGGTGATTTGGGACGCCATGGACCAGCTGGCGCGGCGCAGCCAGCGGACCGTGTAGCAGTGCGGCGCGGGCATCCGCGTGGAGGCGGCCCGTATAGAGGCGGGCCAGACGCCATACAAGCCATTGCAGGCGTACATGGACGAGGCCAGCATTGAGAAGCACGTGCAGCCATGGCAGCAGGTGTTAGCATTCATCGCGCGCACGCAGGCCGCGCAGGCGAGCCCAAGCCGAGATAGCCAAGATAGTGAGGACGGGGATGGGGATGGTGGTGGCCATGGCCGTGGCAAGTGGCTTGGGAGGTTACCCGCGTATGGGATGACCCCGCGGCAGCGCTAGAAGTGGCAGGCGTTATGGCAGCTGGCCATGCCAGCCATTAAGAGGCCCGAAGCTAAAGCGGGAGCTGGTGGCCAAGCGCGTGCGTAAGCCCGAGCCAGGCCAGGGGTGAGGGTTATCTATACGTTCGCCGGGGCCGGCTAGATCATTGAGGACGTGTGGAGTGCTAGCCCTAGCGCCAGTACCAGCCCAGGTAGTAGCAGCCCAACCGCGACGGAGCTGGACAAGGAGATGGATGATGGGGATGGGGTCAAGGCTGTAGATGTAGAGGTGGAGGCGTGGCAGATGACCCCCGTGGAGCAAGCGTGCTTGGAGTTTTGTATTGAGCTAATGAACCAGCGCCACCGCACGCACGAGTACGAGAGCGCGCTGGTGTGCGCCATGGCCGTGCAAGGATGGGGCGAGGCGCGCTGGCGCGATCCCAGTAGTTACCCGCCTAACCCAGGGGGGGTAACCCGATGAGGGCTCATCGGAGTTAGGGTTCGGGCGGCGCTTAACCCCATTGGGTTTTAGCAGCGCGCTGATTGGTTCAGGCGAACCAGGGAGACACCCTAACCCAGGGGGGGTAGCCCGATGAGGGCTCATCGGAGTTAGGGTTCAGGCGGCGCTTAACCCCATTGGGTTTTAGCAGCGCGCTGATTGGTTCAGGCGAACCAGGGAGTCACCCTCGTTCGGGTTGAATGTACATCCCATCCGTATGCGCAACCAGCGTCGGCGCAGGCTTAGGAGGGTGCCAGGTGATAGAGGGAGGAGTTATTAATTAGGGTTTTAAGTAACAGAGCATTAGACTTCAAGATAAAGGTGTGGTGCTACTTTTAAAACAAGGGAAAAAAAAGAAGGAGGTTTAGGGATTATAGGCAGGAGCGGGAGTGGCGTATATTCCCCCCGCCCACCAGGTGCCCATAGCAACCATAGATTATTATTATTTATTTATGCCATGCGAATGCGTCATGAATTGAATGATTGATTCCACCATTGAATGTGATTCCAC